TACCAAAATTACTTCAAAACAATTTTTAAGCATTTTCAGGAAAAAGATAATTGGAATGATGCGCCATCCGAAGATCGTTTTTTAGCAGGTTTTACCACAATTATGGCTACAGTCATCTGCCTTGCTATTTTCGGTGTCTTTTTACTGATTTGCATAACATGCCTGATTCGAATACATTGTTGTCGATGTCGTAGGAGTAATCATAATGTATAAAAAGCTAACAAAATGTGTTTTGCCTTTATGTCAATTTCACTACATCATTCATATATTATTTTTTTTTATCAAAAATATCAAATGTTGCATTCTAAATCAGGCGAACTAATTAAATTAAAATGAAATAACATAATGATCTGTTTGTCATTAATAGGAATAAATAACAGAGCAAACAAATACGATTAATTGACAAATTTTTCAACAAATAATAAATGACAAAAACAAAAAAAATAAATCTGAAATGACAGTACTTGGTATTGAAAGATATCATTATTATTAATTCATATGCCATATAACTTCATAATCATTCTTATTTATAGCATTCTTTTTTCTATTTCTTTTCAATTTTAATTTTTATGTTTAATTCTTAAGTTCTTTCTGTTTTTTTTTTTTTCAATCTATTTTCATGACATAAAATATAGTTTATATAATGCAAAGTGACATAAAATGTATTCCATTTGATGAAATATATATTCGGAGAAATGCATGAAATAATATTTTGTTTGATTCAAACTGTCGCCTCTATTTTCATCGTATTGCATGTTAACATTGCCAATTCAATATCATTTGAAAGTTTTTCAAAAATGATGCAAATCAATTTGAAAGATGAAATTTGAGTAATAATGGACGATATGAGGAAATGTGAATATGATATGAAATAAAATAAGTGCTGCTAGAGTGTAACATTAGCAATTTTAGGCCAATTTTGACAAATGCAAAAATATGAAAGTTTAATAATTGCCACCTTTATTTCATTCCAGGTTTTGCAGAAAACAGATTTTGAATGTTAGAAAATTCTCACACTGTACAAGTATGAGAATTTCTTAGCTTTCATTTCGATGCATTTTAGTAATACTTAAGCACTAATTTCAAATTTTTTTACTTTGATATAGTAATTGCGGTGTAAGAAAAAAAAGAAAAACTTTAAAAGAAGCTAGCAATGGATAGTTTTTTATTCTCGTTTAAACAAGAATTAGTTCAATTGAGCAAGAAGATTCAATTGAAAACATTTTTAAGATGTAGCCAGTCATTTATGCGTTTATTAAAAGATGAAATTAGTAATAAAATGATGTGAGTTCATCTTAATTTTGAAAACATCGATTTAATTTAGAAATGCAGTGAATAATTAGTGAAGGAAATTGATCAATAAATCTGATTTTGTGATCCCCTAAGAAACTTTCTTTTTCCAACCAATTATTTCTCTTTAATCTATCAATAGGTGTATTAACAGAGAGGGACAGAGAGGGAATATGTTTTGAGAAAATTGAAATGCTTCTTTTTCAGAGGAGTTGAGAAAGAAGTACCGAAATATGTGCAGCAAAGAAAGAAATAATTGTTTTAATTTCGATCAGATAACTATATGAAATGTTCAGAATAATTTAAGAATTTATAGGGATATTCTGTTAATTTAAAAAAAAAAAATTTTTTTTTGAATGATTACGAAGGAAATTCATGAAAATAGTAATAATAAAGATTGTTTCCTTATAGCTAATTAATTTCATTTCAATTAATTTAAAAAGTATGCTAGTATTAGAAAGAGAAATTGGAAAATAATATTCCAATCTTTCATTTGTGACTTTTTACAAATAAATTAGAAAAATAGCCATCAGGGAATTCTTGCTTTATTAATTTGTTTAACCAACTGATAAGAATACTTTCATTATAAATAATTTTACCAGATCATTTCATCTTACAACAAGGAATCTTCATTGATCATAATATCAAAGCACTGATTCTATGCCCACTGACCTTATATTAATTATTAACTCTATGCCAAATCACTAACCCTATATTAATCACTGACTCTATACCAAATCATTGACCCTATATTGATTCCACACCAAATCATTGACCCTATATTGATTCCACACCAAATCATTGACCCTATATTGATTCCACACCAAATCATTGACCTTATATTGACTCTATACCAAATCCTTGACCCTATATTAATCACTGAATCTATATCAAATCATTGACCTTATATTAATCACTCTGTGCTATTATTTCATTTGTTGTTTTTTTCTTTTATTGCACCAATTAATTTCACGTTAACATTCCTTTATTATTTTCAAAACGTTTTAAAACAGCGAAGTTATTTTTTTCTTTTACTGCATCAATTCTTGTAAATTTGAATGTATGTTTTGGAAATAACGGATATCCTGTAAATTTGTGATGTTTTCAAATGAATAACAAAATGATCAATGTAATTTTTCCTTTTCTTTCCCTCATAGTGCACTTGTTTGTGATGAAATTTGTAATGAAGAACGTATTCATCAAATAGGCCTTTTTCAGGGAATTTTGCTAATTTCAATCATTCTTCTCGACTTCTCCTTTCTACACACTTTTATGGCTATCATTTTCTTCCAGATTTATCGGTCTACAGTTTCTGTAATCCATTTGTCTGCCACCTTTCACGTTATTTAATTAAGTTTGATACCATTATCGTTGTATTATCAATTAAATCGGAAAACAACAATCCCATATTCTCTATTATTATCATTATTATCACTAATTATTATCACATCTCCTACTATATTATCACTAATCAGAATTGAATCGATGAAATTATACATATTGAATAGAGAGCTGCAGGAGTAGTAATGTTTCTGGAGTGAACAGGTTTTTTGAGCAAGCTAAAGGTGCAATCTGGGGCCAAGTAGAAACTTAGGCCCAATTTAGGCTGCACGTACTTCTGGGATTAAGTAAGCGTTTAGGTCTAGTGTAGGGTACGTGTATTTCGAAATTTTGCACCTCTTTTAGCTATCTAAGAATAGCAGAAGGATATAAATGTTTTTTTTTTCACTTTGCAGACAATAGCATAACCATGTTACTCGTTGTGATATACTGGGACTTGCTTTTTGGTTGCAATGGTGAAAATATCGATTTGAATTTACACGTTGATCGAGAAAATTGGCTTGATCCGAATGATCCTTTTGCATCACCGTTATTGTGCACGAAGAACACTCTTGATGAATTGGCAGTCTGTCAGGAAAATCTGAAGAAATGTTTGAAAGGTAGCAAAGTATGTAAGCTTTGTTATTATCTGGCCAGCAATGGACAGAAGCAGTCTGAAAACACCATTTCCAAGCTTTCTTTTCTTCCTTCCAAAAAAAGGCTCTATTAAATTTAACTGATTTATTTGCGGTTTCCTTTAAAAATTATCTCTGGAAAATAACATAATAAAATGAGATTGATTTACGCAACTACTAAGCATTTGCTTAAGTTTATACATTTTAATATATTTTTTTTTTTGTTCTGTCGAAGGATCACGACATTTCTTTTGATGAAGTTGGATTTTTAACCTTGCATTATGAAGAAAATATTGAATTTCACTTATTTTATGCCTAAAAAAATTTCACATTATGAAATTGATTAGTCTTCATGAATTCAATTTTTTTTTCCATTTAGTTACGTTGTTGAAAGAACAACGTTGTGATTTGCACTGTTTTCTGTTTCATTATTTTAATTTTAATGATCTTCTAAACGGCAATTTTAGTTGAAGATCATGCTGAAAATCATTATGTTTATGATTCGACGCTAAAACATATTATACGGAATTTCCTACATCGTATGAATGTTGAAATTGATACGGTAAGATAATTTTAATAAGTTCTTGAGATTATGACTTTTCTTCTGTACGGGTTCATTGTTTGAACGAGTAGATTTTACTTTCTGATTAACTAAGAAATTCTAATTTCGGAAGTTTTCTTTAGATATGGTTCTGAACAAGAAGGGGTCATCATTATTTCAGGAATGAGGACGAAATGACGCATCTGCTTAAAAAAGTATATATATATTATTTAGAATAGTTTAAGTTATTTCCAAGTTACAGCGTTTTTCTAAGCATTTAATGTCATTCCTTATTTTACAGACAAAGCGCGTTGACCGGACTGTACAGATATATTTAAATGCCGAGAGTTTAGCTGTACTGAAGAAGTATTTGAACTCTAAAGATGAAACAGTTACTGTGCGTGAACAAGTTCGAGAAGTTCTGGAAGAAATGATTGTTCCGGTAAATTTTTTTAGCTCGGATTGATACTGTTCAGATTCCTTCTATTATTTCAGAGTCGTAGAGTTTTTCAGATCGGATGGAATTTGCTAATATTTCTTGATAAAATCAGAGGAATTATATTTTTAGAAATAGTGAAATACTGTTAATAAAAATAAGCATGTAAAAATGTAACAATGCTTTTTTTAATGATAAAATGAAAAAGAGGAACTTGTCTCTATTTGCAGCAGCACTATGAGGATATATCATTTGTGAAGCGTGCCTCCGATATGATCATAGCTTTTTTACCCCTGTTGAATGCTGTATTATTGGTGCCAGCTTTGCTAATTCTCTATCGTAATCGCTTCTCTATACGTTCCTTTATATTGTTTATTTTTTTCATATCATTCGTCATATCAGTGTTTAACACTTTTTACAAGAAATATCAGGTGAGAATATAATTTTTTACGAGAATTGTAAGAAGTCTTTAATTATTGATCTTCTTCCACTGAATATTATCATGTAATAGCTTCCAAATATCCCAAATATCTCGGCTTTTCATTTCATCAGTCAAATTTTTGTTTATTCAAGCTCTGCGATTGATGAGGATTGTAATAAGTTATTCAGTTAAGCGATATTTGGTCTTTACTAAATCAATTTGATATTTAGATCACGTTTTAAAGAATTTATGTGATCATTCATTTCTAATGGTACAGAATTGATAGAGTTTGGTAGCAGATAGAGAATATTCCAAAATATTGAAATCCGTGTTCTAAAAATTTCACTCATATATGGTTGCTTCTGTTTTAAAATTTGAAGCATTTTGCAGGCCAACATTGCAGCTAGGATGGCACGTGCTGAAAAGTCACTTACTGAAAAATGTAAAACAGATAATTTCTTGTCCACTGCTATAAATGTCGTGTCGAGATTATTCGTCTTTAAAGGAGAAAACGAATGTGAACAACATTACAAGGTACCAGTTTCTTCTAAATCCCGTTATATCCTTAATGTAGAATGGAAAATATATAGACAAGATTGATAATGTAAATTATGGACACCAATAGCACTCATAACTTATCATTCCATTCGTCTTGCATGTGCATGCTAAATAAGGAGTAAATAGTGAACGTCATGGGAATGTTTGTATGCAAAGAAAAAAATGGATAATTGATGATGGTAAGAAAAAAAAATGGTGAAATTGGGATGATTTTATTGCAAATCCATCATTTCTAAAGAGAAGAGAATTAAGCTAAACTAGTACTGTTTCTGTTATTATTTGGCCAGTTCGTAATGTTCAATTTTTCAGGATCTGTATGTTGACCCTATATATGAAATTGCACCATTGGATGTGATTTGCGAGGTCTTGTCAAATTTCATATTCACTTCTCTTAGTGTATTTGGACGTCATTTTAATGTTTTTTGTAATGAATTTTTCCGTGATTGTCCATTGCACCTTATTATCATGAAGATAATAACTTTCTTTTTCCTCTTTATCGTATTTCTTTTCTGGCTCGGTGGTTATCGAATACGTACCTTCATGACTGCAGTAGAGCCTGCTGGTAAGTTTGAATACGTCATATTTAGTTAGTAACAATAATTTGCTAATAATAAATTCTGCTGCATTAATTGAAATTTCAATTTTGTTTAGTAAGCAACCTCATTTGTGCATTGGAATAAATTTTGTAGGTACCACCACTCATACAATATCGCAGATGCTGCAGCTATCTGATTATCGATCTAGTGAGGAACAACAGCAAATAGAAGCTTTAAAATCAAGGACTGTGTTGTCAACACTGCCAGTTGGCTTACAACCGATTCGTAATACAGTTTCCAGTAATACTAGGCGCCGTTCATTGAGTGTATCTCGTTTAAGCACAACAGATCACTGGTAAAGCGAACTGTTAACAGAGAATATAAGATGATGTATAGGTTATTTTGTTTATATTAAATTTTCTTGATATATGAAAAATAATGTCTTTTACTCTAGTTGATGTCTATGAAGATTTTCATTTTTTTACTATTGAGATTTGTGAAAATTAATTGAAATAAATCGCTTAATTTCGTTTTACTGGCACATTTGATTAATTCGTGTTTATGGGTATTTGATGTCATGAAAATGTTTTTTAAATGTTTGATGCTGTTACAGTTTATAGTTTTATTTTGTTAATATTTTTTAATATTTTGAAAAAAGTTGTTAATATTTTGAAACATTGCATTGTTACAGAAGTGCAAAAAGATCTGTTTCAAGCGTTTAGTGTTTTAATAAATTGACAATTGTGCATTTGTTTTGCCCAAAGCAAGATGGAATAGATTTCATACAGTTTGTAAGTTAAAAAAATATCTGTATGTGTATTTTATAAATTTGTGATGTTTTATACTAGAATAAGAGAATTCGTTTTTTATAGTGTGTGCATTTACATGTCAAAATATTAATATATCATCTCATCTTTCTAATTCAAAAAAAAAAAAGAAAAAAAAACATGTATGTCAATAATGGAGAGAGATGAAAGAATGATGATTGGTTAATGAGCAATGATAGTTTGTCGCATCTCTTATGTTTCAGAAGTTATCATCACATCTGTATTGTCGCGAAAGTTTTTGTCGTGTAGGGAGGAGAGCTGATAATTGTTGTATTGCTGCAATTAGAATCGAAATTGTTTAATAGTTTGCTGTAGGATAAGCAAAATATAATATCAATTTGAGACTGTACCATCCTATCGTTATTTTTTGCGAGAGGAAGATAACTCGTCATCATACTGACGAACATGAACATATATATATATAATGTATGATAGATAGCATCGAGACCATCCTTAGAAATACGAAATCGATGGATATCCCTCATTTGGATGATCAATACATGATGAATATACAATCGATAATGTCGCGATTTAACAATATTAACTAGCATAGAGCTAAAAAAAAGGACTAAATAGAGAAGATGGAAGAGGAGTATTCATTTGTAGCGAGAGAGAGAAAGGGAGAAAAGATGCATAAATGTCGAGAAATGTTGGTAGAAAACGCTGAATGGCATATTACTATAAGGCTAAAACAATGTTATATAACAGAAATTTAAATATGATTACAAATTGTACTGATAAATTTTTTCTTATCTAAAATGTCAATTATACAAAATCTCTATTTATGAACGAAAATTTATATCATTAAACTTCGGAATTTCCCGACATTTTTGTGCTTTAATATTTTTGATATGTGAAATAGTATTCTTTGTTTATATTTACAGTAAATGTCTTTTATTTTAATGATTTCACATATGAAATAGTAAAAGTCTAAATGTTAATTTATCATTTATTGAAAAGAATTCGTTGTACGCAATTACATGCAATTTCAATTTCATCCTTCTTTAAAGATTAAATTTTTTTTTTCATCGCTGAATTGGTATAAACAAACGATTTTTAGTTGATGTTAACCACGATGTCATGATTAAACGTTAATTGATTAAATAATTTTGATGATAGTGATAATATTATCTGGTCTCATTTTGATATAGTGATAATATTATCTGGTCTCATTTTGATATCATTAGGAGGAGATTGATATTGACTTTACTTATGCTACTGCTGCTGCTGCTGCTGCTATTGCTTGCTAATTTAAGCCTTCATCATGCTACTTACTAAAAATTTCTCATTTTTTTTTCTCTTTTTTCACTACTTGCTTCAAAATTCATTTTCCATTTTTAAATTTCCTTCCCTTCCTCTCAATTCACTTTGTCTATCAGTAGTGCTACCAAAAATGCTACATTTTATTGTTGCATTTTTTTTTTTTGCAATTTATTTATGCCTTTCATTGAAATGCTAACCAATTCTTATTATTCTAAATGATAATAAAATTAAAATACTGTGGTTAATAAATTTATTTCGCGAAATTTCAATTATCGTCTATAATGCTTAATGCTAATAGCGTGAAATTTGTTGCCAATGTCATAATATAATTTACCTGCTTAAATAGGTAACTGTCATGCATCTTTACACTCTCAAGATTTTAATATTTGATTAGCATCTAAGAATTCTTTCATTCTTCTTTGATAGCGAGAAGTTTAATATTGAATATGATTTATCGATTTCTTATAATATTATCCAAATAAAATTTATTATATTGTTTGTTCCGATAAATAAAATATACATTTGAGCAGTCGAGATTATTAAATTTGCAAAAAAAGACATCTAAAATTTGAATAATTCTTTTAATTAAAACATATTATTGATTATCATTTTCAAGTTGATTGAAATTATTTGAATGATTTCTTTTTATTTTATTGCTAAAACTAGCCAGATTGGAATGATTTATTTTGGGCGTTGACTTAGTGAAATTGGCTATAGCCAAGTTTTTTCTTGACTTATTTGAAAGCTCTCTAGGACACACAATTCCATCTTTAATTCAATACTCTCTTTAGTTGGCTGTCGTTTCATATCTTCTAATAAAATCGTTCAATGAGCATTATCGGATGAAGTAAAGTCCAATTGTTATTTGCATGAAATGATAATAACCAAATCCGATATTTCAAATGAGAAAAAAAGAAGGAGAAAAAAAATTGTTAATGCTGGTCGGTTAACAATTTACAAATTGATTCAAGCCTAAACTTCGTCTTTCTGTTTTTTTTTTTTTTGAAATATAGAATTAAATTGATATTTGTGAAAATTAATTAATTAATTTAAGATAAATGAAAAGCTTTTTTTTTTGCTAATAACTATTATAGTGCGTGAAACCTATTGTATCGTTTGCTAATTGATATCTCAAATTTAAATTAAAAATTTGCATATGTTTGAAAAGTGAAGGAATAAAATGTCTCATGCACTTGTTAACCTTCCATTAGCTTAGTTGCTAAGGTAAAATACTATGAGGTGAAGGTTTGCCGACAATCGATCTCTATACTTTGGTAATTTTTTCGCACATAATTTCCTTTCAAATTTTCTCTTTTTCTTACATTTATACTTCCCGTTTTTTTTTTTTGCGTTTTGCTTATTTTATGTAGCATAATTCGTTTATGAAATTTACACAATAATTTTTTAATTTATTTGTAATTTTACAGACTTGTAAAGAAATAAAAAATTAAAATTTGGGCATTTTTTTTGTACGATTGTTTTGAATTGAATTGATTGTGCAAGTCTGTTGGAATTTTTGTAAAGTTGACGAAAGTTTATTTCGATTCAATGGATCATGTTCGAGTGCAAACTGAACAGCTTCGTATTGAAGCGCAAATTTCGCGGAAGAAAGTATCGGAAGTTTCTAAAGAGTGAGATTTTCCTTTTTTGTTTCATTGGAAATAAATTTCTCCTAATTTAAACTTAAATTTTTATCAATTTAATGATTTAAAAGACATATTAGCATTATTTTATTTTGACATTAATAAAATCTTTTTTTTTAGTCGTAATTTCAAAATTTATGTTTTTCATTTTTTTTTTTTGCAGTTTAATAGAATATTGCGAACGAGAGAAGGCGCATGATATGTTGGTTAGTGGGCCTATCGATAATCACAATCCATTTCAGGAGAAGAAATCTTGTGCTATACTTTAATTATGCTATTTGATGCTTTTTAAGTGATTTTGGAATCTTCACATTTTAAATAATTGAATTGTTTGGATTTGAATTTCAGATGGCATTTTTGTTTGCTTTTTGAGAAGTTGAAATTTGAAATTATTTGTTTAAGCATTTAATTTTTATGGCTTTTTAATATATATGATGATGCTTTAGCTTAGAAAAAATATGTGAACAATCAGCATTCTTAATGAAAGGATTAATTTTGGAATTTATTACTAATTTAGTCAAATTTATATATATATATATCTATACGAGGACAGAAAGAGAGGGGAAGAGAGAGAGAGAGAGAGAGAGAGAGAGAGAGAGA